GAGTCCATCGAAACCAAGACAAGACCAAGACCACGTAAAAGCAAGCCCAAGTCAAGACCGGTCTTCAGAGTCCTTTCTTAAACGAAACTCGTGTCTCCCCAGACCCACTGAGTTACATGTTCACACTACCTCCACAGTCATGTTTGAAGGTAGATCTAAATGTTAAACAGGGTTTATCTGTCAGCATGTGGAACAAATGTATTTCTTCAGTGGAAGAAAGACTCTGCACGGGAAGGCAGGAAACCCACAATTCTTTTCTATGTTCTTCAGCTGTACTGAAGAAAATAGTCTGAAATACTTTCTTTAAAATAAAAAACTACTACAACTGTTTAATACACTGCTTAATATTATCTTAATGTACTTCATTCTTGTATTTCAGTGTTTCCTGCTCATACACTTTGGTTTGCAGGTTTATTAGTGGCTCCTGCAGCTCATTTTTGATTGCTCAGACAATAATGTTAACAGGAAAAGGAAGAATTCCTTTTTAATAGGAAGAGGCCTGCTCAGCAACAGGATCAGGGAAATGCTGCCATCTGCTGGAAGTGTTTCAGGTTTGAAAGGAAAAGAAAAGAGAAAAGAGGAGCCTTAACCACACCAACCCTGACTGTAAGCTTTCACACACATGAAAAAACAAAACATTGATGTTGACATTATACATTTAAATGTTGATCGTCTAAACTCAGTTTTTAAACCGTGTCACCTCTCTGTGGTATGTTCGATGCTCACCTCTTCTTCAGCTTTCCTGCTCTTTTGGTATCTCGTCAATCTGCTGCAGTCTGCAGATGTGAACCCAGTGTGGGAACTAAAACTGTCAACATGTAATATACCAGCTTGCATATGACTGCTTCACCAACATTGTGGTTTTATACAGCTGCTTAAAATAAAGACAAAAAAAAAGAGGTTTAACAAAGATGAAGAGCTCAAACTTCAAGTGTGAATTTACATTTAAGCCCTTTTTATTTAATATTATAAGTGTGTTTTTCTTTCTTTCAAGTTGCTTCCTAAAGCCTTAAAAGATTACTTGAAATTGGTTCAAGAGACTTTTAAATGATCTGTTTTGTGCCCATTTTAATGAATCAGTTCTTTTGGCCACTTAGGATCACATGTGAACATGTGTGACCAACCAAGATGGGCAGTAAGGCGTAATCCGATTACTTTTTCCAGGTAACGGGTAATGTAAGGGATTACTATTGCAAACCGGGTAATTAGATTACCGTTATTTTCCCGTAAGCACACTGCATTTGTCAGGGCTCTGTGTGCGGGCAGGCAGAGATGAGGATCCAAATGCAGGACTCGAACACAGAATTGAAACTCAAAAAACCTCAGCTTTATTGCTGGCAGAAAAACAAACATGGAGTGAGGATGGAACACTG